TCGCCTTTTTATCATCCTCGATAAACTCTTATGCTGCCTTTCAATTTTATCGATCAACTTCATTCGATATCAACCCTTTGAGATTATGAAAGTTGATTTGGTTGACTAAAATCGAGATTCTCATACACATTTCCACTGACAGGACTGAAGTTTCCTTTTAAAAAAAAATTAAACAGCATATGAGTACTTAGGTCGTTTTGCTAGGAAAGGCCTGGCCCCCTACTACCAGAGGCTCTGCGGTGTATGGAATTTTGGAAATTTTAACTCTACACCGAGAAAAAAGATCGGTAAAAGTTACCGTTCCTCCACGCTGTATTTTACACAGCGTGAATTCAAAGTCGATTCTGCCAGAGGAATGGTTACATGTGCCAGTTTATAGTAACGTTTACCTTTCTTCTGGCAGAATTGACTCTGAATTGACGCTGTGTGAAATACAGCGTGAAGGAATGGAAAATTGTACCAACCTGTTTTCTCGGTGCATTTTGACGAATTTTGAGGCTTTCATGATGACAACTTTATAACCTAACTTTATAAATACTAAGTGATTAAACATGGTGTTTTCAATTTAGACTATACATTGAGAGAGATAATCATCCTCGACGAAGGTCTTTTCTCACCATTCAGAGGGTTTTATCTTTGGGGGGGGGGGGGGAGCAGATGATACCATTCTAATTGACCCCCAAACATCATTCTTGATGATACCTCCATGTAAAAAATTAGACTTTCAATTTAAAAGTTGAGAAAATTTCCTTTAAAATCGATGGGAGTGCGACTGCAGTCATTGGTGTCCGTAATTATCATTTCTAAGAACAAGTGCTTATCAATCATCACTAGGCAAAAAATTGTGTTGAGCTCGGTTACGAGACATAATGGATTGATTATCGATATTTCCCAATTTGAAGCTATGGTAAAAGATCGATTATTAAGGTATTTGTTGCGAACACCCTATTTATCGATCCTTCTCCACTGGTTCAAATGACAGATCAATCGATAAATCGCAAAGCACGCCACGCCACTGGAGCTCAGTCAGTGGCAAGGCGTGAATAATCGATTTTCGATATTTCCTCATTTGAAGCTATGGTAAAAGCTCGATTATTAAGGTATTTGTTGCGAACACCCTATTTATCGATCCTTCTCCACTGGTTCAAATGACAGATCAATCGATAAATCGCAAAGCACGCCACGCCACTGAGCTGAGTGCAGGGTCTCTAAAATATATAGTTTTCGAAAACATGGGATTTTCTGGAGCAGCGCAGACCGCCGGAGGACTTTATTCGCGATACCAGGGACGGGACACCATGCACTCGAATCAAGTTTGTGTTTGTGAGGGTGAAAAACCCCGCCCGTGGCCCGGCCATCGAGTGTGAAGTTCATGAAAAGTGCGGGGGCAGGGGAGTTGAGGATCATAGTTATGATATCCACCCGCACACACCCTAAGCTGCGTACCGCGGAAGTTTTGTTCCATTCAAACTTTTCAGTTGGAGACTACCTCGTCTACGGAGAAAGTTTATTGATAATTAGGGACTGTAGCAGGAGCGGGGCTGTTCAGGCGAATCTCTTTCTCCCGCTCATCCGTGAATATCCGCCCAAACGTAACGTGAAGTTGCGCACTTTCGGCGAATTAAACTTCAGAGTTTTTCCTTGCTTGACTCGGGGATGAAAATGAATTTCATGGTGAACTAAAAAAATAATAAGTAGGGCCGGATTTAGGGGGTGGCCACATGATCCGCGGCCCATGGCGGCAAATTTAGGGGGCAACAAATTTTGCAATTTAATTAAATGTAGGTATAAAAAAAATCAAGTTTAGAAAAGAAATTACAAACGAAAAAATGTGACAAAATCTCTCACTTCCTGAGCGTATAATAATTTCTAATTTTGTCGTCTTTCGCTGATACAAGAGACAGAACACCTTTAATTAGTCTAGTTAAGAGAGAAACCAAACACACAATTTGGCCTGGAGCGGCGCAGAGCAATGATGACGGGGACTTGATACGAAAAGGAGAAGCCCTTGGCGCTGCGGTCGGCATGTAGCACATATTAGCGCCTACAAGAGTGAACGAATACCTCACGCATTGCGTCAAACACAGTGCGGTCAGCGCGGCGCGACGGCGGAAGTTAAAATTATTAAACCACATTTGTGTTCGTTCTTTCATAAGTTTTTTGTTCATTTCTTACATGTGGAAGGTCTTGTCCACACAGAGATAGGTTCACGGAACTGAAGTTTCACGCAAAGTTCCGTGAACTTTTGCTTGTAGTGTTGACAGGGATTACGCAAAAAATGTGTCGGAAAATTCAGGGAATTTGAGGCGACCGGGAAAAGTCAAGGAATTTTACGAGTTGTGTCTAGCAAAAAAGAGAGTAATTTAAAAGGGAAAAACTGAAAGTGGAAGTTTTATTAGAATGACAGGGAAAGTCAGGGAAAAGCAATAATATTTAGGGAAAAATCAGGGAATTTGATGATGCAAGAATTATGACAATCCTGCTTTTGGTCTTATTTTCAGAATAATTCAAAAGAAAAAATAATTTCAAAGAGGGTAAATACAATTTGAAGAAGACAACGATTGAAAAGCTGGACGGATAAAATAAATACACCCATGTCTTGACGATGGTGCGCGCTGGGGCAACTATTCCCTTAACGGAAATGGAATTTCTGCAGTTTTCCCTTAACATAAGCCTCATCCTTCACACCCACAATTGCCTTGGACGTGAAAGTAAAATTACCATGCTTTTGATGGGATCCCAAACGAAAAACGCATCGAGCTGAGGGCAATGCGGCATTCTGCAATACCGAGCGCATCTCTCTCACGTCAAACAGCATTTTGCACAGCGCAATACCTGCCTCGTTTCGATTCTCACTGACATAAGTGTCGAGCTAGTTTGTGTCGAACGCCCTCATACAACCCCTCCCCTCGAGTTAGGTTATAGGAAAGAAGGGAAACGTCAGGTTTTCTTTAAAAGTGGCGTTTATTGTAATAAACGCCATAATCCCGCCCAAAGAAAACCTGACGTTTCCCTCCACAAGTTGGCGACATCGTTGTAATCTTTCACGACGAAATAAAGTCGTTTGCGTTAGTTTGTTGCTACTAAAGATGTCGTCAGGCTGTCGGCATTGGGTGCATGTTGTGCGCATTTTACATGATCTTCGTCCCCCGATTCGAAACGGTTCATAGATACCTCCATGTTGCCACGTTACGTATCTCTTCATGTGATATAGAGCGAGTCTAGGTTTCTAGGTTTGCTGGGAAATGGAAATTTGATTTGGATTGGACAACAAGGCCCCTTTGGTGGCCAAATAAAAACTAGGGCGACCGCGTCGGATTCGCCTGCGTTTCCCGCCGCCGCCGCCGCCACCGCCGCCAGGTTGGTTCCCAGTTCCCCGGTTGTCGGCTCCAGCTTCCGTCTCCCTCCCACCCCCACCCACCTACGTTGATAACAGATCAGGAGCTGGGTCACTTGGACCAACGACTAGGAACTAGAACTCTGCCGTGCTAAGGGAGAACGCCGTATGAACCTTCAGGCGATGCCAAACTTCCTTCGATAAAACACGAATTCCCTGGTAAACTTCTGAATATTTTCCTCCCAGTTTTTCAGATAATTTTCTTCGCGATTTCATCTAAAGTTCCTGAAAATAAGGGGAGGGGGGAAATATACATATCTTTTCTAAAAAATAAACATTTTATCGAAGGAAATTTGGCAACTCTCGAATGTTCACACGGCGTTCTTCCTTAGCACGGTAGATCTTCCCCCCAGTAAGAGCTCTTTTGAATCAAGCCAACAGCTATATCTTTCCTCGGAAGTCAACCGATCCAATTTCTAGTGGCTAGAGCACCAAGCAGCTTTGGCAGCCGTGTGCCTTCATACACAGAGAAATACATTTTCCGTTACGAGGACTTAAGTTAAAAAGAACTTAACTTGAGTTCACAAGAAATACCTCTATGAATTTGATTAGATTTTTTTTTGCACACAAAATGTTATTTCAAAAGTCTCTGCAGTTTGAAAATTTAGGAATTTATTTTAATCTCAGTACTTCGGCCCAGTTGCTGCACGTTTTTCAACTTTGAACAACACAGGGCGGGAAAGCACAAATTTATTTATTTATTTATTTTTTTAACTGGGCAATTACATCTTTTACAAGAGAGCGTATGTGTGGATTCCTCCTGAGAATTTTGTCTACTCTCATTAAATCGCGCACTACTACAACGGCTTGGCAGGCTCCTTAATCGATCAGTGTTCCTTTCCCGTCCATGTATTGTTCAAAGTGTTAAAAACGTGCAGCAGCTGAGCCGAACCACTGAGATTAAAATAAGTTCTTAAAATTTCATACTGCAGAGACTCTTAAAATTACATTTTGTGTTCGAATCGGCTCGCGTGGGAAGGTTATATTCATGAGCGGAAAGTTCAAATTTACGCGTCAAGAAACATCGAATATCACGGCAAGAAGTTGGTAACAGTAATATTTTATATATAATATATTTTGTACTATTTTATTTAATAAAGGGATTCTACTTGTTGCATTGGAATTTGTAGCTTTTCTACTGGTGCATTTCTTCATTGTGTGGGTTTCTGACAAGGTACACTCTATGGACAAACGGGGTGCCGAAGTGGCAGCCCTGAGAATTTAGGCCATCGAGTGACGTCGCAAGTCGTACCGTCTTTGCCGCCCAATTCAAAATGAGGTTCTGGCAGATCTGGTAGCTTCAATAAGCTGTCAGATGAATTTAAAAAATTGATAAAACCCAAAATAACGAAGAACTTGACTAAGAACACGAAAAAATAACACGAAATTCACGAGATCCACTCTCAGAACAGAAAGTAAAGAAGTTGTCAATATGGCGTCGCAGTCGTCCAATTAGACGCTGCCAAATCTACGCGTTTCGACAACTTTCTATAACTCCATTTGTCCATACCTGTAGTAGAATGTACCTTGGGTTTCTAATGAAGGTGATTTTAAGCCTGTCTGAAATATGTGTTTTGAGCCTCGTCTGATTTATGTGTTTCAGGGGTGGCCGATGAAGTGGAAGCGTGGCAGGGGGCGGTGATGTCGACGCTGAGTCAGCGATTGGCGGAGGACTCGCGGCTCCTCCAACTGGGCAAGTCCACGACGCCGCGGGACTCGAGGACGCGCCAAGGGAATGGACTCGTCAAGCCGCCGCGGAAGAAGACGACCCCGATGGGCACGGCGCCGCCGGGCGCGGGCAAGTCCACCCCGACGACCCCGGCCAAGTCGGCCAAGAGGGTCGTCTCCATCGAGGAGCTCGTCCGCAACGACCCGAGCTACACCCCGCGCATCGAGCACCTCGTCTTCGCCGCGTCTCCACCTGCACCCGCGTCCAGCGCCAACGCCAACGCCAAGAAGACCGAGAACAAGCGCCTCGCCGCCCCCCAGAAGAAGGAGCGGGTCTGGAGCTCCGTCGAGGATACCCGGGCTCCGGATCCGCCTTGCACCTGCGACCCCGCCAAAATTCGTAGACGAGTCAAGGTAACCACTTTCCCTCTTTTTCCACAGTTTCTCCTTCTCCACACAATTCCGCCGTGTTAATGAAGAACGCCGTATGAGCCTTCAGACGCTGCCATATTTCCCTCAATGAAACCTAATTTTTCTTGAAACATTTCGCATATTAATTTTCACATTTTTCACACAATTTTGTTTGCAATTTAATCTAAAATATCTGAAAATATCAAGCTAAAAACGCATGACTTTCCTTAAAAAGACATGTTTTATCGGGGGAAGTTTGGCAACACTCGAAAGTTCAGCGTTTTTCCTCAGCACGGCAGAATCCACCCCGGCCTATTCTTTGAATAATATAAGCGGCGACGTCCCAGTAATCAGAGAGCCGAAATTCGATGGAGAATTCGCACACAAATTTTGCATTGCTTCATCTGAAAGTACCTAAAGATCTGATTTTGTAGAATTTTTTATAATTTTTTTCGGCTATAGGAAATAAACCATGATTCCCCGATCTATTCCAGATTATAATATTTGCGATTGGTGAAAATGTAAGCCTAATTCCCGTTTGTGACACTGTGGAGGCCTAAAATACGGGAATCAATTAGAGATGGATTCACATTGTCCTAACTCTCAGTATTAAGGGACTCTAGATCTAGAAACGTACGCTTTAACATTCAACTATTTGAAAAGACGATTGTGGTGCTTAGGAATGAGGTTCCTCTCTGGGATTAACTAGAGTACCTTTATAGCGAGAGTATGGACAGATCGCTTGATGGAGGGCTTAGGGCCCAAAAGTGCAGCCACCCTTCTGAGCAACTTCTAACACACAAAATTTCACTGCCAGCCTACAGAGTTCAATTCTAACCAAGATGGCCAAGAATGTACATAAATAAGCGTTCTTTTGCAAAAATAAGTAAATTTATGCTAAAAGTAAGCCAAATACATGCTCTATAAACGGCGGTTCGTAACAATTGTATTTAAAAATCGCTCTGGACATTCGAAATTCATAGGTTGGCTGCATTTCTGGGCCCTGACTTCATTCACGGAGGCATCGGTGAAGGCCTGATGGATTTTCGGAGTTTCACATCTGTCCATACTCTCGCTATACAGGTACTCTAGGATTAACGTGAAATTTTTCTACGTGCGACCCGCACAGGCGCACAGACCCGATAAACGCAGCGGTGTCTAGTTTGCATAAGAGCACTTTACAGCTTTTCTCGTTGGCGCGGACCAGAGCGGCGCGGCGCAACGGACGCGCCATTACGTAACGCTCCCCTGTATTTTGCGGAACGAGACGAATGCGCGAGTGATATCAGGGATATCAGTTCGAGGGGGCACGATTACCGCACTCGTGCTCATCACTTACCCAATGGGATTTCCTTTGCTCGGCGGCGGTGCGGCGTGCGGGACTGTGGCCTGCCCGATGAGGCGTCTTTGTGATGGACCGCAGCCTCCCAGTCCGATCGCCGATCATTATTTCTGGATCTTACCTTATTGGAAAACTCCGCTCGTTCTCACGCCGAGTTATCGGGTTGTAAGATATCACCCGGGAAACCGGTGGATATCACGTATCCATCCCGAGGAATTCCGTCATCTGGCAACCTCATCCAACCACCAAATGCAGTCGTAGACCGGTAATTTAGCTCCATGTTGCCGTATTATCGTAGGTAGCTCGCCACACTTACAGAGGAAAAAGGTTGGATTTGTTAGAGTACCTTGATAGGGAGAGTATGGAAAACTGGAAAATTTGAGGGTTAGGTTTGATCAGGTCATGTAGCTATCGGCCCAGGGGAGCCAACTTATATATGAGCTCGAATTATCCAGTAGTACAAATTTTTACATTCCGACTATTTAGACTGATCAAAAATTATGAAATCACGTATAAAACTTTGATTTTGCTTACATTTTCTCAGTTCCAAAGTCTATCCTTAAAAACGCATGTTTACAAAGCGCTGTAGGCCCTATTCATTAATCTCTCAAATGCATAGGTTGGCAGCGGCACTTTTCTAGTGATTTTCGTTTTTCACGTCGTCACCCTTTCGGGCTCTAAAAGCTACATAAATCGAGTTGTCAATACTCTCCCTATAAAGGTACTCTAGGATTTGTAAACCCAACTTTATTGCTCAATCGCACAGACAAATTTTCGGTGATGTTTTTCCTTAAGTGGTCCTGGCTCCTAGCACTGATAGAAAACATCATGTTTCATTTATACACATAATAATGAAGAGAAAAATTATAAGAGTCACGTTTAAAATATCTTTGTAGTCACACAAAACAACTTGATTTACGCGACATTCATACTAACGCCTGAATACAACTATTCGTGCTCAGTGGATGTGCGCGTTGCATATAGGATTGTTGAAGGCGCTTCGGTTTTTGGTGTTGCCCTTGACGGCCAGTGCGATGCGACTACACTTTGATGTCACGTCCAGGTGCTCTTAATTTTAGCAAGAAACGAATGATTTTTCCAAAAAAAATAAGAAGTTAAAATGGAACCTTCAAATTATTTGGGTGAACAGCAACGTTTGATCTGTGAATTTTCAATTGAACTGTTTAAATGTTTACACGTGTGGACCCTCTCTAACAGTTTTACCAAAACGAATATATATGATTTTTTCCCTCTGTGAAAAAAATAAAGCAAGCACAGAACTTTTTAAACACTACATTTATGATATTTTTTTTTCACCAGCGGTATGTTCAAGTATATAGATGTGCAATTAACGTTAAAATTGATATTTTTTTTTATTTTTTACAAAATTCGGCACCAAGACGTAGGCATCTATTATATCAGACTCTCACAGCTGAACTGTCGATTCTTCGCCTAATCGTTTGTGTTGCTTGATGTATCCAGTGCAAAATGAAGGAGAAATCATTTTGCTGTCAATCAAAGCTTACTTATTTGACCGTGAGATAATGACGTAAGTCTGGACCTCCCGAAAGATTCTCTCTCGAACGCTTGTTCGATAGGGATTCAAAATTCAATTTTTACAATGCATCGCTAGAAGGGAATGATTAATGGTGGAATGATCGGTGCGATGGTGAGATGAGATTAGTTAGCCACAAATAGCACAATGATCGAATCTACACTATTAAATAGCACACGCAGGTGGCTAAATGGCCGGTGTTATTCGACATCCATAAAATTGAGCATCAAATAATCGAAGTCCTTGATGCTTGAGACAACAGTTGAGGATACGAGACTTCTGGGCAACAGGCCAAAAGTTTTATTGAGCTTGCTCATGGGTGACTGCAAAGTAATTTGTATAAAATTTGTCGAGTGTGAAAATGACTTAAAGTCGCACATGACGGAGATTTGTAGGTGATGGGTGGGCAATTATACTGCAGGCACTGTAGGTGACATCATAGGTTTATTCCTGGGATTTATTGCATCGATTATTCTATGCAAGTCTCTGTGTGTAAATGTGTTCTAGCGTAAGTTATCACCGTTTTACATTTTAAATAGCCTGAACGTTGTCCTAACTAACCAGATGGTTGACTAGTCAAAGATTACAAAAGCTTTCGGGGTTCCTCAATTCGAGCGGTTCTAAAAATATCCACAATGCATTTAAATTTCCAAATGGTACAGAATGTTCAGTTTTTGACCGGAAAATGTCTTCCGAGATGCAACATATACTCCCTCAAAATGTGAGAAAATATATCTGTAGACCGTATAGATATCTCGACGTTACCTCGGCTGAGAATTTTAATAGCCTGTGTCACAACTGTCACACTATCAAAGTTCTGTGATTGGTCCAAGTCATCGAATTAGCCAATCACAACATCTGACCTTGATATTTTGATGGCTAGCTTTGATAGTGTGGCACAGGCAAATGCATCTGTCCGAGCTAGATATTGCGCCATTTCAGTCTTACCCGGAAAGTTGAAACTCATCAGAATTTATAATCACTGGTAAAAAAACCTCTTGGTTCAAGAGTGCAGTTTCTTGTCGCCGGATTTATAAGTCTGGACTCTTGTTTCAAGCGGATTTTGAATTGAATCAATGCAAAATCCGCTTGAATCAATGCAAAATCAACTTGAAACAAGAGTTCAAGCCTCTTAAATCCGGCGAGAAGAAACTGCATTCTTAAGTCAATGCACCGCGGCATTGGTCCAAGAGGTTTTTTTTAACAGTGATTGTTAGTTTTTTTCTATATTCCATTCCCCTGCCAAATAGTGCCAATCCGGCACTATTTTGACATTTGGCCATTGGAAATGTGAGGAAAAAATATTTCGTCAACAAATAAACCTTATACATGAAAAAAAGCATGACGTGTAAATTGCTGTAAATACACTTATACGAATACGTTTAAAACGTGTATTGCTCTGTTCATCAAACGTCGCATGAATTTACTAAAATGTTATTGGGAAGGGGGAGTTTCTCAGCTTATTTCATCATACTCTTGAAACATTCTGAGGGGTGTCAACAAAAATATAGCGGAATTGCTTTCATAACACAAGTGACTTGTAGATTCACTCAGATTAAGGATGCTAGTACGGCAAATATCTATGAAAAACCGGTTCAATTGCCTGGGATTTTTCCCCCCATTTTTTTCGCCCAATACCTTCATTCTGGGCACTGCTCTTTTTACGAAATTAGGCGATGATTAGGTCTAATGAGGCCCCTCAGGGAATCTTGTGCACTGAGAAAAAACTATGGCTTATAAACCTATTAGAGGTAAATATGGAACACCACTAATAGTAGTACCTCTACATATAATAATAGCACATATACCTTAGTTATGGTCTCTGTACCTTAATTAGGTACAGAGACCTTAGTATGGTTCACAGACCGAGAATCATTAGTTTATTTACGACTATTATAGGTGTTCCATATTTACCACTAATAGGTTTATAAACCATAGCTTTTTCTCAGTGTGTAATCAACTTTATCGACGGGAATTCCGCGGTGGACACGCCCACGCATCAACCGTTTTCCTCGTCTCCCGGGGCCCGGGGCTTCGTATTTTCAGCCTAAAGAAGTGAGAAAATCGTTCAGTTTGACGCGGAAAACTTTTACCGGCTCCATTTAT